CCCCAAAACCCCAAAACCCCAAAACCCCAAAACCCCTTCAAGAGTTGTTGTTATTGAAATAATAAAGATGAATTCCAAAGTTTTTGAAAGGACCAATAGAAGTAGGGCATATAACCCCCAAAAGATAAAGAACTCAGCTCAGGTTGTTAGCAATTACAGCCAGTAAGTGACTCCTTTCTGGCTACCTTACTCATCCTTGTTGGGTTTAGATATGAAATGCCGAGTATACATATGAAGCCAAAGTATTATACAAGAGATATCAAATCGGTCTCAAGGAACCACCAGACTCAATATAATACCTTCAGAGGCTTTGATCGAAGCTTGAAGTAAGTGAATACGAAGGATTCCAGCAATAACTTTGATGTTAAGACACATATTTTTCCTCAAACTATGAGAATTATGGAGACTTCTCTCATCAATATTTTAAGTGACAGAGTACAAAGATCTTAGATTCTTTTCATCGAGATAATTAATTGGAAACTTTTTTAGTGCTAATTTTATACAATTTTTAAATACTTCTCATATTTGCAAAACTTTCAATAATGAAAGAAGTTTTCAAAGAAATGCTTTTTTATGTTCTATTATATAAATTCTAAAATTTCTAATTCTACTTAAGAATTCCTGATCTCAAAGAAAATAATAAGAAAAGAAGGATGAAGATAAACTCAATGTTAAAACAGGGTAATAAATTTGGCTTCCGAAATCGGGGATTCCAGTATGTACTCCGCTCTCAAATTTTAGATCAACAAAAAGCCCCTCTCCAGCTGTTCCAAAGAAGCAAAAACTAATGAAGAGTACTTACTGAAATTAAATTTTAGCCTTAATATTGAAGCAAAGGAAGATAGATCATTTTGGCACTCATATCAAGAGAGACAAAAGAATCAAAATTCTAAAATAAAGTGCAGGAAAAGTCCACTAAAAGGGTCACTCATATGGTCATTAGGATCCAGTCTCACTTCAGAGGCTATTTTGCACGCAAACTTTACCAAAAACTCAGGTAATTATTGGAAATAACTGCCCAGAAATGAGAAAAATAGAAAAATAGTTTTCATGCAGCACCAATGGAAGGAGAAACGGAAAAACAGAGCTGCAAAAGTTATCATGAAGTTCCTTAGAGGGTACCAAGATTGGATGAAGCACAGGTACTTTTGGTCGTAAAAATAGGATAAATATTACTACTATCCGAACCAACTGATACTTTAAGGACCTCAGGAGCCAAGTTGAGAGGCAAAGCGTCAGAACTATAGGTGAGTGCTAGTAAATAAATGCAATAGAATGGGCTTATTGGAGATACAAAGTACCTTATTTCCTAACCAGAAATAGAAAAATGTACAGAAAATTGAGAAGAGAATCAAAGACCAACTTGACGAAATCGAGAGACAGCAAAAGCATACAATGTTCTGGTAGGTTTCAGAGCTTATCTTTAGCACACGAGTGTCTAAGAGAAAGAAAGGATCAAAGAAAGAATCAATTAGTAGATATTCCGTTAAGAGTGGAGTTGAAAACTCCATTCAAGAAGGAGAAGAAACCAATGATATGAAGAAGTTGCACCAGAGCGAGACTATTAGCGAAAATTTTGCAGCTTTTCAGCCAGTTCCAAAGTATGTTGCTCCTCACCTCTAGACCCTCAATGCTTGGTAATAACAATGCAACTGCTGCTTTTCTCACTAACATCGCTTCGATGGTTAAAAGTAATGTTTGGGCTTCATTTTCAGAGAAATAAAAGCAAGGAAGAGTCACAAAAGGTCAGAAATAGATGTGAGTTATTTTCTTAATATCAACCATTACATATCAAGGGTTTAATCTGGTCTAGACAAAATGACAAAAATATTAGGGAAAGCAAAGTAAGCTCATAATAATTTTTGCAGAAAGAGTTTTATGAACCAGAGTATAAGTGCAGTCCAAAATAAACTGATGTCTAAAATTAGAAGGAAGAGCATCACTCCTAACAACAGAAGGTGAGTTAGCATGCCAATAAGTCGGTCCGGTAGAAAACCTATCGAATTTCTGAAGTAGATAAGCATATTTGTTACTGATAAAATTATCAGTGTTTACAGAATATCATGTTAATTATTATCGAGTTTGCTTTAATTTTGTTCAGGCTCTCAGAAAATCTTACAGCATAATAAAAATGTTAGTGGCTTCCTATATCATTCATAATATTATAAAAACTTTGTTTAAACAACTTAACTTGGGTTGTGGCGATCGAATTAGGTATAATTTTGTGTAAAATCAAGTTGTAGCTAAATAATGTCAACAAAAATGTTGATTTTATTGTAAATTCCAATCCCTCAATCTTAACTCTGTAAATAAAATATCCGAAGTTAGCACTCTGTGGACTCTATTGTAGTAATATTTATAAATGCAACCTGTATTAGCTTACAAACTGCTTAGCCTCTAACGGTTGCATAGATCTAATAAAAGTAATGGACAGGTAACTCTTTAGAGCATAATGACTCAAGAGATAAGACCGTAAGTTTGTATAAAACCATCTTTATTAATCTCAAATAGGATTCAAGAAGGCTAGATCAAGTTCCGCGCAGGGGTAGGAAAAGAACCAAATCAAAGAACTGAGAGGAATCTATAGGTATGAATCCCTCATCATAATAGATTCAAATCTCAAATGAAGTAACCCTTCTCCTAGAGTCAAGAATTCAAAATCAGGAGATGCCTCTATTGAGCATATCCGGTTCAGAGACCCAGCTGATAATTCAGAGATTGTGATCTCTAAGAGAAAAGACAGTGCTGAAAGTAAAGGTAAGCTATTGTATTTCTAATATCCTACTAGCAATTTCACCAGCTATGAATGTTTCACCGACAGCTAATAACTCAGGAAAGAGGTTAAACATCATTTTTGAGAAAGAAAATAACAAAGAGAGTAATGCACCTCACTGATTTTAGACTTAGCAAGAGTTAAGAGTCATGAATATCAAAATAATGAATCCGGTTCTACTAAGAAGAGAAAGGGCCAAAGTCAACGAAACATTTTGTTTTCAAGCAAAGAATTAAGCAAAGGATCATCTCTAAACAGAAACCCACAAAATAAGAGGTCAATAAAAGTGAATGGGTCTGCTTTCTTTAGTAAAATCCTCTCTCCGACTAATGAAAATGATGAGCATCCTGAAATCAACGTTATCCAGTCTTTTAAATCCCCTGAAAATCTAAATATTCCATCAATAACTGTAAACGAAGAGGACACTCTTAAATATGAAGATAATCCCTCAAGGCAAACTGTCTTACACCAAAAAGAGGAAAAAAACGCACCTCAAGAAAGGCAGATAAAAGCAAGGATCCCTCTTAAGAAGAAACCCTCTGAGAAGCCCCATGATTCTCCACAAAAATTGAACAAAGGCCCACCTAGAAAGAACAAACCAAACCCACAACGTGAGAAAGAAAAGGTTATAGATAAAGACAAAAAGACCAATGATTCCAAATACAAAGACCTAATGAAAAATACAGGACCTTTGAAATCTCTCATGAAAGGTAAAGAAAGCTCATCAGGTTTTAGCTACCTCGAAGAGAGTGAAAAATAAAGCGGCAAGAAAGAGAGGCTCCTCGATGTCGTCTCAGGAGCTAGAGAATAAGCAGGATAAGGACTTTACGCCCCTTATAGAAGAGGTAAGACTAGTTGTTAATGATTAGAGGAAAATTGAGCATCCGAAAAGTAAGTTCAAGGTTGCAAAGGAGGATAGCTCTAAAGTCTCTGGGATAAATATTAGCATCAACTCAACGAACATGAACCAGTTGAATGATTCTCATGCTGATGAGGGAGAATATAGTGAAGACTTTAGTGGCTAAAATTTTATTTCAACATTAACTCCACCCTCAGGGGTTTTGGGGTTTTGGGGTTTTGGGGTTTTGGGG